TTGACCTCTAGGCCGATTGTCCTGTATGCCTGGTTGAACACATCAATGATTGCCTGAAGATCTTTCTCTGTACTGGCCATCACAACGGTATCATCCGCATATTGAAGTTCAATTATCGATGTTGTCGATACTTTCGACTTGGCTCGTAATCTGGGATCGTATTTTCGAATATTCTCGCATACGAAATTTGATACGATTTCGAATGCTCCCGATTTAATTTACATTCCTGTCAGGCAAATTTCGTGTACGAAGTGTACTCGAATGAATTCGAAAATACGACCCCTGTTTAGGTTGAATAAGCCGCCATCAAGTCTGTACAGGATTTCCACTCCTGACGACAGGTGACCATCGGCAAGGTGAAGTATGGATACTATAAATAGAGAAAATGAAGTGGGTGCAATAACACAGCCCTTCACTAAATCCATGAAGGCCATGTATAGAGGGCGATTTTTGATTGATTTCTCTTGCACTGAAAATCATGTCAGCTGTACCGCGGTTGGATCTAATGCCACACTGTGTCTCTGGGAGGTTTTCTTCGGCGGTTGGGATCAATAGGTTTGATAATACCCTGGCAAGTGTCTTTCCCGCAACAGAAAGTAAAGATATCCCTCTGTAATTTCCACATTGAGCCTTGTCTCGATTTTTAAAAATGGTAACTATGGAGGCATCTGTAAGTTCGGCAGGTATTGGTTCAGTAATCCATATTTTACTTATTAGGATGTTAGGCCTCCTTGTTTAAAGAATTCAGCAGGAATGCCGTCAGTACCAGCTGAGTTATTGCTTTTTAGTTGTCTGATTGCCTTTTCAACCTCCTCTAATCTAGGAACCTCGCTCAGTTCTTGCTCTATCAGTTTCTGTGGAATTTCATTGAAGATGTCATCATTAATTTGTGATTCTCTGTTGAGTAGTACCTGAAAGTGTTCCTTCCAACGAGAATTATTGGAGGAACTGTCTTTAAGCAGTCGTGTGCCATCTTTGGATCGTAGGGGATCAGGTCATTGAGTAGTTGGTACGTATACCATCTTAGTAGCCTAATAAAAGGCCCTGGTGTTGTTGGATCCAGCTAATTGCTGCATTTCGTTTGATTCCGTTATCCACCATTGGTTCTTTAATGCTCGCGTTTATCTTAAACTTGTGCTTTTGCATGTTGGTATTGCCTTTTCTTACAGTCGAGTTGGGGTCGCTTTTCCATGCAATATGCGCTCTCCTCTTAATATAATAAAGACGGCGGTGTCGCCATGGGCGTGCGGTGAAATTTGAAGCACAAGGCGAAGTGCTTACTGCGCCGAGCCGGTAAACAGCAGCGCGCGGCAAGGGTTATATCGTTATCTGGGCGGTCAAAATTGAAAAAAAAAAAAATATATGGGGATTATGGGATAAGCGTTTAGCGTTTGTTTGTGTGATAGATATTTAGTGATAGATATTTACGATATAAGTAAGTTAACGGCATACTTAAGATACGCGTGTGGATTAGTGTGGAAGTTGCACAACGAGTGCGTAGCACGAGTTGTGTATCTCACTGAGGTAGACAAATATATATTATGTGTAAATAGGTTCCATATAATAGTGTTATCATTTCCAATGTCTCCCATGGTGGGAAGGATTGCGAAATCTGTAATTTTTCTTCCTACAAGGTCTTGAATTTCAGTGTCGTTCTCATCAAACCAGTTTTGATGTTTTTTTTTGTATGTAGCCGACCGTTTCTTCCGAGGCAGATGTTAATGCGATCTTCAGTATTTTCCGGTGCTCCTCAATGCTTTCCGGGTACTCTAACGGAAGTTTCTGGCTTGGAAGTTTGTCCTGATATGATCGTCTTGGAGGCGTACTATGTTAAATTTGCGTTTCAACTGGTTTTTTCGACATCTACGCTTGGGTGGCTTCTGGCTCGTATCAGCCGATGGTCAGTCCAGCAGTCATCCGCACTTGTTAGAGCTCTCGTAATGCATACGTCATTCCGGTCTCTAGAACGTACAATTATATAATCGATTAGACGCCAGTGCTTCAACCTAGAGTGTTGCCAGGAAGTCTTAATATTTATTCTTTTGTCGAAAAAGTGTATTCGTTATTACAAGGTCATATTCTGAGCATGTGGTTAGTAGCCGAAGTCCATTTGAGTTCAATTTTGCGACGCCTTCCTTGCCGATCACCCCTCTCCATAGATCTGATTCTGTACCGACCCGGGCGTTAAAATTACCTAAAAGAACAAGTTTATCAGATTTAGGTACAGGTGATATGGTTTGACTGAGTTGGGCATGAAATTCCTCTTTTTCGCTATCGTCAGTTGGAGCGTAGGCGCTGATTAGCGTAGCTTGTTGATTGTTGCCGAGGTTTAGTCTCAGCGTCATCAGTCTTTCGCTTATTCCTCAGCAAGATGGTCCATAAAATCATTTTTATGGCGAAACCCACTCCGTGGATGCGAGTTCATGATCTTTCTTCCCTTTCTAGAAAAACGTATAGCCCGCGTGCTCCTTGAGTTGATCTTCGCATACTCTTCTAGTTTCACTTAGAGCTGCAATATCGATATTAAATCTCCCTAATTCCCGTGCCACCATTGCCGTTCTTCGTTGTGGTCTTGTATTTGTGCTGGTATCCATAAGTGTACGAATATTCCACGTGGCAAGATTGAGTTTGTTTTGTTTCGACCGCATATGGTGCACCCTCTGGACGCGGTTATCCAGATGGGCAGTTGTTGGCTGGCTATGTTCAGGGCACCTTTTATGGACCCTTCCCTTTCAGGGTAAGCAGCGCGGATCCTAAATAGGCTGCTCAGTCACGGATGCAGCACACGAGTTGCCAATCCTTGAGCAAAACAGGGATCACGCTATCCGCCGCCTCCGTGCCGGTTTGTCACTAAGAGATTTCAGACTACACTATCCTGCTCACGTCGCAACTTGCCGGTTACCGAAGGGCTTTGGTGTGCTTTGGACTTAGATGGTCTTAGTGTCCTAGAACAGAAGATGCCTGTGCGTAATTTTTAATACCGTGGGTATGCTGATGCACAGTCAGCAGACCCACGGTCCCTAAGCTGGAGTTCCGACCCAATGGCATAACATAGCCTAAACAGAGTTGTAAAAAATCTTTTATTTGCATTTGACATTGATATATTGGCGATTAACATTGAAATTTAGCATTGACGTTACTCATCTCTATTTGACATCAAATACACTGAAGATAAGTAGAAAATTGAAAGAACATGTACAAGCTGTCCCATTGAAGATGGGAAATGGGTTCATCTGCTAAGCTCGTAGAAGTACATTTTTTTTGATTCCACATTCCCGTGTCAATTTTTTGTGACAAATCAAATGCCGCAAACCGAACGCCTCTTTTCGTTTTGAAGATACAGGGTGAAACTGGAAATTTCCACTTTTTGAGGGTAGTAATAATTATCTCGCATATAAAACAAGATAAAGGGTCTTAAAAAAAAGTAGGTAAATCAATATTTCTCTATAATTTTGTAATGTCAGTTTGTCTTTTCATGTCATAAACAAAAACAGATAAAATCCAAATGAAACTCTTCTAGCAAATGCCATTGGCAAACATAGTGCTTTTTATTTTTTTGATATCTTGTTTTATACGCGAGATAATTACTACCCTCAAAAAGTAAAAATGTCCAGTTTCACCCTGTATCACAGATCACCTACATACAGATGCGAAAGCGCGGTGAATTCGTGGTTCAAGGTTAATTTGGCGGACATACGCTGGCCGCACCAATGCCGCATCAATAAATAAACATATTATATAATTATTTTTTTTTGAACTATTCAAATCGCGCTTTATATATTTTAAAGTATAGAATAATATCCTTAATCTAACAAATAACTCAATTACATATTATATTTTAGGAAAGTCTGCACACGGATGAATTAAGTTGATTTTGCTAATTTCAGTAAAAAAAAAATTGCTCGAAACATCAACAAAAATCGACAAAAATATGTTCAATTTGTTTTTGTCGATAGTTTCAGAATCTTTGGAAAAATAAACACATGTGTCACATGAATATTTTTGTTATCCTTTATTTATTATATACCCGAAAAAAATATGTAAGCGCAACAGGCTGGAACACGCTCACGCACTATACGGCCGCGTTAATTGTCCTGACGCGGGGGAGCCGTCTACCCTTGTTTCGTAGCTTTAAATCGTCGATGACAAGGATCTCAGATATAAGGATACTTACTTAATCATCTGTATTTAGGCAAAGTTTGTTTAAGGTGATCTGTGCCTGTAGGTCCAAAACGGAGAAATTGGCCCAGGAATGTGAAATTAAAAGAATATACCTCTACGAGTTAAGCTAGATAACCCAAATTCCTATCCTCAATGGGCACTCTGTATATTATTTCAAATTTTTAGTTCAAGTTTTGTAATTAAATCAGCTGAGATACCTAAACATTATCCAGTTCTAAGTGTATTTTATCTAATTGATTCGGGGGATCTGTTGCTGCAAATAAATAAATAATTGTATAGTGCCTTCGAACACTGTAATTTTATTGCAAATAAGATGACAAATTTATGAAAAGTGCAAATGTAATAAGAACAACCCTTATTACTTTTGCATTTTTTCTGGAACTAGGAATTAAGCTAGGTGTAAATAAATATGTTTCAAATATTTACTTAAAGAGAACTGAGAAATCAGTTTTGGATTATAACTCCATATTAATGGCGGAGAAGCCATTTCGATGAGAATTTTGACAGTAAAAACGAGCAAGAGAATGAAATATAGAGTAGTACATAATTAAGTAAGTACTAGACTCATTTCTGTAACAGCTTCTTGATTCCTATCAATTCTTCAAGAAAATGAAGATAACCAAGATGCAACCCTTTACATTTTACAAAGTGTAGGAATTTAAATTTTTTAACAGATACAGAACCAAATTATTCTAGTGTTTCTGTTAGTTATTGCATATTTCTACCTAATATGTGTATATATAATATATATGTATACATATAAGATCTTTTCTAAATTAAATTGCAGGATGCCTAGTCTAGTATGTGAAGTGTCTTACTGAATGTTGATGATGTACAGGCCTTAAGTCCTCTTCTTCGTCATCATATCGAGGCCTGTAAGAGTCAGGAAAATATCTGTCAGAGTATCTCAAACTAATATTTGGCCTTTGTTGGTACTCTTCAAGGTTTAACGGCTTGTAGAGATAGTCATTGACAAAATGATAATCCGAGGATTTTTCGCAGATATTATCGCCACTAGGTGGCATACAGATCAGTTGAATCTATACAAAAAAAAAGGTAAATTTTTTTTCAATTCGCAGAAGAAGGTTTCTCACTTGGTGGAAAGTAAATCCTTCAGGACAAATCCAGGAATGTCTGGCGTTATCGTGGCAATAATGGAACACTTCACATCCCAAGTCCTCGTCTGCGTAATAGCCTGTTTTTCTGTTGCTACATTGGAACTTAGATTGTGGCAGTAATAAAGTTAATCTATCGGGTTCTTCTTCTTTCTCTTCTTCCTCTTCCTCTTCCAGTTTATTGTTTGGTTGCTGAAATGTATATTTTTTCTAATACTACTTTTGGACGAATCATGAGTTTTGGCTAGTTGAGCCATATTATGTAGAATAATAGCAGTAATATACAGGGCATGAAAAAAATAGTGTAACAAACCTTTTTTGCGGGTCAACGGTTTCCGAGATATTTGGATTTTAATTTTGAAACACACCGGTTGTGTTAGGTACAAAATTTATCAAATTTCTGAAATTTTTTGATAGATTGGTAGGAATAAGAATTAAATGTATTGAGACAAATGGGTGCCTTCTCAAAAGTATTTCACTGTAGTTTCGAGAAGGCATTCAGGAAAAATAATTTGAACACAATGATTTCAAACATATTTTAACAAATCAATTTTTTTATTTTCTTCTAGTAGTAAAAAAAATCTATATGTTCTTCGGTAGAGAAAGTCTATATACTTTGCGCAATATAAACCTCGGCGCCTCGGGTTATAAAAACGCTCGGTACCACTTCTCGACCGAGGTATAAGTATAATCAAAGTATAATATACTATTTTTCAACTCTGGAAATATTATTGGAAAAATGTAACATGGTGTTCAATTATTATTAACACAACTATGTATGACATTTTAAAACGAAAAGGGGACATTAAACCGCAAATGTGCTTTGGTATATACAGTGTGATTATTTAGGTGTGCAACATATGGGATTTTTTTTTCAGTAAAAGCGCAATCAAAATACAAACAAGGCCAAAAGTTGGTGCATGTCTGATAATCATATTAGGTGCACTTAGAATGGTTGCAAGTCAAACAGCATACAGGGTAGCTCCAAAAATATCTAAATTGTATGTAATATTTATTTAAATAAAATAAAACTTTTGTACTTTAAGGAGAGTTTTTTTAATATGCATATCATCATTAGTAATGTTTTAACTTGTTAAAAAAAAAATTGCGACATTTAAGTTCTGTTGAATATCATTGCAACAAACATGAATTTTGTGATTCCATAAAAAGTTAAAAATCCAAGTTAATTTTACAAATATGCTTGAATTTGAACAAAGTTATGTGAAATTGATTTGATTTTAATTAATTTTTGAAAGTATAAAGGGCGGATTAATTCTAAACAACTTTTCTCTATAACATTTTGCTGAATTTTCTAAAATAAGGGTACTTTACAGTACAATTTTGAAATTGTTTGAGCTACCCTGTATGCTGTTTGACTTGCAACCATTCTAAGTGCACCTTATATGATAATAAAGCATGCACCAACTTTTGGCCTTGTTTGTATTTGGGTTGTGCTATTACTAAGAAAAATCCCCATATGTTGCACACTTAAATAATCACACTGTATATTCTAAAAATATATCGTGAAAAGCCTCAATAAAATCCTCAATTTGATATTGAGGAGAATTTTTTGAGATGGCAATAAAAGTTGGACAACATTGAGGTAACCCAATCTGATAAGTTGCCCCAAAATAGGTCAACTCATGACACGCTTTCACATTTGCAATTAAATCTATTCAACAGCGTCGTAGGGAAAACGAGAGAAATTGAAGAGCATAAGAGTTTCTCTAAAAGGGTATAAACTCCATTAACAAGCAAAAAGTTCGAGATTCTTACAGCAATTTTTTCACCAGCTCTCCTATATTGTTGCTGTTGTTGTTGTTGTGGTTTATACTGCGCCTGTTTATATCCGGCCGGAGTAACACTAGCATAGTACGTAGTTTTAGGCGTAGCATAAGTAGGTTGCCTGTCCTGAGTAGGTTCTGGAGAATTATCCAATTCGTCTTCGTATTCCTCTTCTTCGTAAGCTACTGTTGTGGGCCTGAAGGTTTTGTGCGTGGAGCCAAATCCATTTTTTTGTAGATATTGAATTTGTTCTGACGCTAGTTGGGTATAGCCTGGAAGATTTTGGGGTAAGGATGAAGATGTGGCAATGCAGAGAGACGATATCGTCAGAAATGTGTGAAGCTCCATCGCTGAAAACTAAAAATTTGTTTGTATTACATGTTTCAATAAGAGTCTCGCAAATCACAATTATTTATGGCCCCCTCCATTTTTTTTTTTTTTTTGAGTACAAGTGATGTAGAGTTTCGATACTTTTGAATACCTGTACTGATTCGATACTTTCAATACCCGATACTTTTATTGGGTATTTGGGTATTTTCAGTATTATTATTAAGCAGGGCCGGTCCAATAGCTTTTATATGCCGAGGCAAAGTTCAATTCTGGCGCCCCCTCCACAAATTGTATTATCAAAATGGCTCGCACAATGGTTAAAGACCAATATGATAAACAATGAATTTTAAGCTATCGTTTAGAGAGTTAATGGGAGTTAAGACAAAAAAAAAACTTAATTTTCTAAATAAGTACATATATCATATATTCACTTATTCATTACATTATATAAGGTCTGTTCTCACAGAAATCACAATCGAGTCGGAGTGTTTTTGATTGGTGCAAATCGCCAGCAACCAGTTTTCTGATAGTTTACAACCAATGAAATTCGGTCTGATAGACCAGATCTATACTGTAGATAAATATACAATTGTATTTTTCAAATTAACTTAATACAAAAATAATTTCTCAAACAAATTGAATTATCAACACTAAAAATGAACCCGTGTGACTTTACGTCTTGCAAAGTCACATAAATCACAAACCAGTCAGAAGGAATTTCATTGGTTGAAAATAGTCATAAAACTGGCGATTTGCACCAATCGAAAACGCTCTGACTGGTTTGTGATTTCTGTGAGAACAGACCTATAATCTACATCATCGAACATTATATAACCATCGAGTGTGTTCAATGGTCGAAGATTATAACATTTTCAATTCCTGCAGCAAAAGTCCATTCGAGACTCTTTTTTGAGACAAAGACGAGACTATAGATAATCGAAGGTGCCGTGATGAGTGGTGACACATAAATTAACTCTTAGCGGACAATGTTGTCAGATCTTTTATTTTCCCCCTATTATCCTTGTGGCATGAATTTTTTTTTTAATTAACTCGAAATAAGTTTATTTGAAATTTGGCGCCCCTAACCGTGGCGTCCTAGGCGGTTGCCTTGGTTAATTTGATATTTAAAAGGTAATGGCAAAGTCTGTGATGGTAATGGTGAATTATTGTACCAAATAGTTTTGGGTAGGTACCTACCTACGCCCTACTTATTTATTTTGGTTACCAAAGACAGAAATGAAATATTCGTTACTTTTAAGATATACAGGTACCTACACAATACACACTAGGTATTTTAAAACTTTCATTCATTGGCTATAAATAATTCTTTGGGTATTGGGTGAATACCCGTTACTTTGTACCGGGTAGGTACTTTTTTTACATCACCATTGAGTACATTTAATTAGTCTTGGTAATGGATGTAAACAGTAGTACCTATATTTTGTTGGACGAACAGTGACAATAATAGGTACAAATTTGACAACTTATTGCTCGCATTCTGTTTATTGTTTACACTAGGTTCAGAAAGAAAACAGAGTTAATCAAATCCGTCAGACGGCAAGTCGTTCCAGTGTATTCTGATTACCTTTGAGTTCAGCGTAATTGGTAATTTCTGAATTTTTGCATTTTTTTTTTTGTGCATCTCTGATTAATTCTGAGTGATTTTCTAACTATTGTTTTTTGTTTCGGAAACCAGAAGAAAGATCACAAAAAACTGTTATAGCAAATAGTAGCTAAGAAGGAACCCATACTGCACTTGTGAACCCCTTTATCTTGTTCTTGCTTTAAATTCTGTGGCCAATTTGGAGGAAATTCTATTTCTATAAGATTCTTTGTTAACTAATTTTTCTTGTTCCTGAACTAAGAATAAAATTTGGAAGTCAACCAAATCCGTGAAAACTGTTTGGGAAATTATTTTAGAGTTATTTGATCGGATCTGAGCCCTGATCTATGACATCTTTTTTCGTCTACTGACAAAATCGAAATAGTCTCGAAAACAACTTTGAATCACTCTCTGTCTCCTAATTTGTTGATCTAAAAAAAAAATATAGGCCTTCAGATTAGCAATTCACAAGAAGTAAACCGACTGGGTAATGCTTTTTTAAACTTAGCTTTTATAGTATAGTATAGTAAAGTATACTCTATTCTGAAGGCCAGAATACGTACTATTCTGACTTGAGAGACTTTAAAAACTATAAAGGGGATTCTTCTTCTTTTCCGGTAGTAAACGTAAACCATGTAAAACAATCAATTTTTAAAAGAAGGAACTAACGCATCTAATTATTCCAAATTTCAACAGCATATTATTTAGGTACAGGCTCGAAAAAGTGTCCTTTTCAATTATTTTTTGATAGGCGGTAAATAGAAACAAGTAACAATGTTTTGAAATTAGGCGATTTTGAGCTTACTTTGAACTAACCTCCTATTGAATTTGAAAAAATTCTAGATGAAGAGCACTCTTAGTATTGATGATGATTTATATCTACGACATAATTTTTTCAATAACGTCTTATAACTAGGTTAGTCAATAATTTTGTGAGTGAGGTTAAGTCTCAGACAAGGCAATAAAAGTCAGACTTCAGAGTAGATCAGAATTGCATTTTGAATGATTCCTATCACAATGTTAGTCTAGAAACAACAAATAAAGACTCTTATGGCATTTAGAGTAGCCCGAGACAAGAAATGAGATTGAGAATAGGCCAGATTTGTAACTGTGTATTGCTTCATCTTTTAACCTACCCTGTAGATTCTGGGTAGGTATGTTGTTTGTCTATTTCCTATAAATAGGAGTTGGGTATTAATCAAAACCAACCCAAAAGAAATCTGATTGACTTTGAGCTCAATAATGATCTCTGATACAGTTTATCAGTCTGAAAAAAGACATCCAAAAACAAAATGACGAAGTGAGTAAATAAAAAAGTTATTTTTTTTTAAAGGTTAAAATGAAAAAAAAAATCCTTTCACATGTCTTATTGGGTTCTTTTTTTACTTTCTTAGGTGGCACTGACAATGGCCTACAGCGCTCTGCACCGATTCCAATAAAGATTTTTTGCACGAAATACAGAACCTTCATTTTACTAAAATACAGAATGGTTTCAGAAAGCCTGAGCCAGAGCTCAGACAGGGTCAAATTCATTGTTAAATTTGTACTAACTCCTTTTTCTGATGAGTGTAACACCGAAGTTGAAGTATAAATTATGATGGTTGCATTTACAAATTGCAATTTTTTTATTTTTAAATAAACTATGGTACGAATCTGACTGAATTTTTAAATAAATAATTGTGACACCGTCTAATCCAAACTCGAATATTGCTTCATTAGAAAATGATTACAGAAAATAATTAATTCTAAGATTCTTACAAATAATAATGGTTTCACTTTCTTTATGTAAATCCTACCCGATAGGCTCGCAACTTGAGTTAGTAATGATAAAGCAGAAAATGTACTCTTGCTTTCATTCAGTCAAAGTGTCTGTGCAAGAAATATTGCTTGAATAAGAAAACTAGAAACAATTACAAAGGAATGCCTTAATTTTATGGCCCCAGGGAAAACCAATTATTCGATCAAACCAGGAAATTATAGGTTTTTACTGAAACTAGAGCGAGAGATATATGGCAAATCTCAATCTGTAACATAAAATACGTGTTATTACACAACTTACTGTAAATTACTTATTACATATTTATTCCTTTCACCATCAAATTCCAGGTTTATTGAAAAAAAAAAACTAAGCACGAGAGCAGTAATTTTTGCGTCTAAGACGTGGATAAAAAGATATTTTTGCAATCCACTTCTAGGATAAATGCTTATTATAGATAATTAAAAATTGTTTTTTTTTTTCATGACATAAAGGTAAATATGTGAATTTTATTGTGTTTACAAGTTCTCTTAGGTTCGGTTTGCGTAGAATTGCAAGAACAACATCATACATTTTCTGACACATGCAACACAAATAAAGGAAAATTGGTAAAGATTCCACATTCCACATTGTTGGTGTTTCCAATAATATATTGTCTCGAATTCTGCTGCCCACTAAAACTGCCACACTAACAACAAATACAACTTTCATTGTACTAATTACTTCACAAAATTATATTATAGCCGTTCGGTCATCTTTCTGGAAACCTACAGAGTTTCTTAGGGATCATATCCCGTTTTTTTTCGGTCACTTACGATTTGCGATCTCTGTCCTTTCTGTAACTATTTCATGGATGTCTAGCAACGTTTTCGGCAAATCGCCAGCAAAGTCTTCGACTCCCGAGTCGGCAACATCTGTTAACCCAAACCCGATGTCACAGGATAAACGAAGTTCTCTCCCAAACAGTTGGCTGGTGTACTAGAGTCTAGCCGTCACAGCTGGAGCAAACCCGATAATAGCCGAACAGCGAACTCTGGTGCATAGAAAATCGAGAACAGAATTTAATTGTTATTTCTATCGTGTCTTCAACTATTCTCATTTTTATCAAAACAAAATTACAGGTCCATTTTACAAGAAATAATTATTTGTAAAAATATTTAATTTTTTGTAGTTCGGATTTAGTCCTTTTTTATGGTTTATTTTTGTCCTACTTATATTTTATTATTTCTAGAGAGGTGTCAGCCGGAAAATTATCGTGTTCAAATATTTCGGATGATCCAGAAAAAGAAATTCGATTCAATCTTAATGAACGTTAATAATGTGGAAAGTTATAGGGTGCTAAGGCGGTAGAAGAGACTGCCTATAAACCCAGTATTGAGCACTTCAAAACGAAAACAAAATGAACTACTCATCCGAACTACTTCCCTTAGTTACAAATAAGCGCAAAAAGTTACCAATTACTCCACAGAGGAAATGAATAATATTGATTTTAAGTTTATTTTTGCTGTTGGGTTCCTCCTGATTTCCAATTTGAGAGGGCTCTTATTAAATATCAACATTTTTTGTTTTTTTTTTTTAGCAGTGTATTAAAGTACTCCAGTCAACAATCTTTTGCTGCAACCGAATATACACCTTCCTTCGAATTCAATGCGCTCGGCTCGGCTTTCG